AATGAGTTTTTTGGGTTCATTGAGAACATGGTTGTTGTTCAATAATAACATTATTCCTCAAAAATACAACTTGCCTAATAATTCTGCACTCCCTGTATACTGGTTACTTTGTTACATCTTGCTAGTACTTTCCATGGCACAGATCCAACAAGGTCCTGGAAACATTCCCCAGAGATTGTTCTCCATATCGATGTGACAGCATCACAAAGTTGCTGCGGAGTTGTTCATGATGTGAATTTTCTGTTCCATCGAGTCTGAAGGCTGCACTACTGAATATGGAGGCCATCTGAGTACAGTGAACTCATTGTCATGTTCAAGAAACCAGTTTGGGATAATCTGAGTTTTGAGACACGATGCGTTATCCTGCAGAACGTACCCATTGTGCTCATAAATTCGGATTCTACCATCTTAATGTAGCAACACAAATCAAGACTCTTCAAACAATGAAGTGGTTTTCTAATCTTTGATTGTCCCGTTTTGAAGAGTTTGTGTGAACTGTAGCCTCAGTTTCATTTACCTAACTGGCACAAGTGGCTCCTGGTGCGAGCCGGGGTCTTCTGCTGCTGTAGCTCTCTTTAGAGACACTCTTCTGCTTAACTTGATAGTAACTGTTGCCTTACTATCATTTTGAAGCTGTCTGGCCATTCTCACGTGAGCTATGGGTTCGACAAGGTATTTTCACCATGAAAACTGCCGCTCACCGGGTTTCTGATTTTCTCTGTGAAATGGCCTCCCTGTCTTGCACCAACAACTATGCCACATTCACAGTCATATAAATCACCTTTCTTCTTCATTCTGATGCTCAGTTTGAACTTCAACAGGTCATCCTGACTATGTCTGTGTGCCTAATTGATTTGAATTGCTGCCATGTCATTGGCTTATTAGATGTTTGCTTTGACAAGCAGTTGAGTAGATGTAACTAATGAGTCTATATTGTAAGTTTCTGGATGTGAAACAAGTCAATACAAATTTAAGAAGCTGGGGACAAAATCAACAAACCTCACCCAGTCCCCATCTTTCTGCTGTCCAGTGGTTAGCAGTTAAACAGCCCAAATTTACACTCTCTGTACACGAAGAAGAAGAAAAAAGACTGAATTGAGTTGCTAAAACTCCTCTGCATTTCAGTGATGAACCATTGTCTGGACACTGAGCTACTAAAAAAAACCAAACACTGGAAAATACCACCTTTATTTGGCTAACTGAATCCTAAAATTTGGCATAAACAGGCACTGAGCTGCTCAGCTTACCTGTCCTGTGGAGTGCTACTCAGCCTGTGGAGGCTATTGCATAATTTGTTGAGACTATTTGTGAAGCTTTCCAATTTTGGGAAAATAATGCTGTAATTAGGATTCTCTACATTTTAGATTTTAGCCTGATGTCTTAACATCTTAACTCTGCATGTCCTCCTTCACTACATGAACATCCTTTGAGGTCTTCCTCTTTTCCTCCTGCCTGACATCCTTTGACTAATATATCCACCATCCCTCCTCTGTATATGATCAAACCATCTCAGCCTCGCCTCTCTAACTTTGTCCCTGAGCTGGCATGTGAGCATTGTTAAAGGCTTCTTAAAATTCAAACCTCTCCTTTTAATATGTTGCTTCTTTGAGCAGACACTTCCGTGCTATGTGAATCATCAGTGGCCAGATTAACACTGGGTTACAGGTTAATTTGGGAATGTGTTGTTTAATTGCTGTTCAATTACATCTTTTTGGGGGGTTTCTGTAAAGATTGGACACTAATGCACCAAATCATCTAGTCAGTTGTTGTAGTGCTTACGCCAGATGCCACAGGTGAAATTAAGTTACCACAAACCAATTTCCACAGTCCCTGAGGGCTCTCTCAGTCTTTTTGCCTTCTGAGCTGCACCGATTCAGTAAAATGTTTTTTTTACAGGACTCGTCACAGCAGTTATTAAAGCAAAAAAAATAAAATAAAATAAGTTCATTGAAATATTTTCAGATGCAAAAACTTGAAGTACAGCATCCCTACTCTCGTGTGAGCCCCACTGCAAACACTAACTCTGCATATTCAAGAAGTAACTCCGCTGAACTTTCCAACTCGTACCGTTTTCGTCGATAACAGGCGGAACAGTGGGCTGCCGACCGTCATCGTTTCGTTGCGTTTTGTGGCGATTGCAAACTCCAGAGATGGTGCAGCGCAGGGCGGACTCTGCTGCCTCTGGAGGCGGTGGTTTCGCTGTATGCCTATCTTACGCTCTATCTCCGCCCTCTGGGGAGAGACTCCTCCGTTTACCGAGCACCTTTTTACGCGCACTGGCGTTAAATTACAATTAGGGGCTGACGGACTGCAGGAGCGCAAAGGACACCGCGTCAATTTGGTACCGGATTCCCCCTCATTTTTTCCTCCTCCTCCTCGTAATCAATTTCTGGATTATGGGGACGTCGCTGAGCCACGCAGGGTTATCTACAGACGCTTTCCAAGATTAGCTAGAAACATGGAGCACGCCAGAAACAATGTGCATGAATCAGATTTTGTTCCAGTGCTGCTACACATTTCAGTGATCTCGCCTGTAAATACGCCAGGATATTTATTTTAATGCTTCTGTGCGTTTCTTTTTCTTTTAGTGCGCGCAATGTGCAGCACCGTGGTTGTTGCTGCTGCTTAGAGTTGGCATAGCCCCACAGACATCAACCTTAATAATCATTCTTTTAAATGTAAGTGATGCGCAGACCTCCGTGGCTTTAACCGTAACCAATCCGCCGTTTTTAACGTAAATACAAGCGACAAATGATGAAATAATTGGCTGTGTTGATCGGTAGACACAAATGCGTTAACAGGAGTTCACGTTATCCACCGATTTGAAAAATAAATAAATAAATAAAAATTAAATAAAAGAAAAAACCGCGACGCAGGGGCTGTTTGGAGTCACATGCGCCCGGGACAAACAATTAAGATGACAAAAACGCTCCCCAGTAGAGATTGTCTTTATTGCCGAGGAAGCCGCATTCTTATCACATCACAGTTTCTGGATTGTAATAGAGTTGGAGGACAGGGAGCAGCAGAGGGAGAAGAGAGGGAGGAGAAGCAGATGAGAGCTGCCGAGCCGCACACCGGAGCCGCTGCTGAGGGGCAGGATTTGGCTTCAGTGGTGGACTGAGCTGAAGTTGAAGGGATCCCTATGACAGTCGGCTTCACGTTTCCCCCCGAAGCCTTCGCTCTGGACAGAAGCACGTATGGACACATTGCAGCACAGGTGAGGGACAAGAGGAGCTCTGCCAGTTGGCCTCATGATTAAAACACAACTCTCTCTCAAAGAGGACAGCATCGGGCTTTCATTTGGAAACCGTCTCTCAGGTCTGCACAAACTGATTCTACCTTCATCCCAAAAAGAAAGTAAACCTGCAACCTCAGCCTCCCGCTCCCCCACTCCCAAGTGCCCTGGAAAGCCCACCGGATACAGTCTGCATCCACAGATGTAACTAAGATTTCTTCTTAAGGAAGTCCTATAATTTTGGGTAAGTGTTATTCTCAAGTGTGGACAGATGGAAAATGTCATGTTGTGGAACTTAGGGATCTGTGTGAACGCACAGTATTTCATTGATCTCCCTGTGAAGTATTCACCTAGTGTTAGTGACAGCTGGTATGGTGATGCTAGCCCACCTCACAGCCTGCATATCTACAGCAAAGACAAGAGGGTCTGCACCAGCTGTTCATACAGAAGTGAAACTCAGCAGACCTGCACACAGCAGGCAGGTGTCCTGGTTCAGCCTGTCTCACTGAACTCGTTTTTAAGGTCATGCTTTACAGGATGCGTGACCTGTGAAGGGTTCAGCCAAGGTGTGACATCAGCACACGCTGATGTAAAACAGTTTTACACAAAACCTGGTGCTGTATATGTGTGTATTTTTGCTTTTTCAGTTTATTGTTAGAAATTATTCTCAAAATATTAAAGCTGTTCAGGTAATTTTAAGTAAATGACTGTAAACCCCCCCCCAAAAAAATAAATAAATAAATAAAACGTGCCGCCCTCATCCTCTGGTTTGAATTGGTGAAAATTCGCAGAAAATTTTCCTATTTGTGGATTTCTTTTATAGAGCATATCTAAAATATTCGCCAATTATTTTCATTAAGATGGTAGTTTAAGGTATGTTTGGTGTTTTTAAGTGTTTTTGAGGGGGGTCTCAAGTATTTGCGTATTTCAGGTATTCAATGGCAGTTGTGGTCCCTAACCGCTGGTATTCGCAGCGGTTAGGGACCACTCAAAATATAAGCTAAGGCTAAAGCGCTACATGTAGTACACCACCTTCTAAATTAGCAACATGCTGTCAGTATCCCTAGTACCCACTTATTGTGCCACCACAGACTGTATATAAAAGCTCAGTGTTGCCTCCTGGTTGTTAGTGATCTGTCGCCATGCCTCAGGCTGAGCATTTTTGCCATCACTACCCTGGTGGTATGAACACGAGGAGCGAGCGGTGGATCTGGCTGAGAAATTGGAGAAACGCTCCATGCTAATTTGGTAGCAACTTGTCATTCACAAGCCCTAAAGCATGCGCTGCTTTATCCTCCATTCTAATAGAGGCATTGTTTGGAGCAGAAGAACATCATGTTTATTCATTGATAGGTAAAAGTCTTAACTGAGCCAGTGTGATCATTGGAAAAATATTTACTGTAGTCAAAGATCAAGAGAGACAAAAGGTTCTATTCCCATTGACTTCTATATAACCAGATGTTCTTGCTGAGTCTCCCCCTGCTGGCTTCACGTCACAAACCCAGAGACTGTGTCCATCTTTTGTATACAGTCTATGGTTTGCACGTACAAACTTCTCAGTGTCTGCTATGTTGTTTGTAGGGAACAAGACTAAATATGACAGTAGTTTTGCCCAGGAAGCCTCCTGATTGGTAGAAAGAAAATCATTCATAACATGTAATGTAGAAAAAAAAACTATTCATAAGTGTTTAAATGTCATAGCTCATGTTTTTAGAGATTTTCCCCAGAGGCACTTTTTTTTTTTTTTTTTGCAGTACTAATGCATCTCAGCTGCATTCAACACTTTGTGCCCCACGCTAAGAAAAACAAGATTCATTAATTTACTTTATTTTAAGGGGAACTTCCATCTTAATGAATGCACAAACCTGCTGCTCTCTCTTGGCAGTCAGCTACTTCAGAGTCAGCGAGACTTTGCTTGCACTAATTTCACTGACACCTGTAGTTTCTTAATGAGCTATCTGTGGGTGTTGCACATTGAACACCTGCATGGACTGTGGAGAGGATGCAGGTTATCCATAATGATAGTTTAAAGAGCTCAGTCTTTATTTTTTTAAAAGATAGAAAAAAACAGAATCATTAAACTGGGTTATTTTAGCCCTGTCAGGTAGTCAGTTTACTATGACAACAAGAACTTTGGCAAGGTTTCGTTTCGTTACATAACAGCACTGGTGTTAGTGAATATCTATTATTAGGCCAAAATGGCTTTTGCCAGCAAGTGTCCCAGTTTCACTGGACTTTGTACTGGGTTCAGTATGTGTAGTTGGGAGCAATAGATGATTTGCCAAACTACGCATGAGTGATTTCATTTATTGCTGGTATTCCTCCATCTCTACTGGCAACGGATTGATGTTGGGACAGTGAATGACCACCATCTTCATGGTCCATTATGTCACACCGTCTCTGCACTCAGTAGGCTCTTTTTAAACCGTTCCCCATCCTAACCAAAAAGCATAATGTAGTGGAGACAGCAGTGCTTCAGTTAATGAAATGTCTAAGGCTGCACACTTGATGGAATAAGATAAGTTTGGCTCAGTCTGACTCATTGTCCCTCGCAGGATTTCCTCATCCTCCTCCATATGAAATGGGTATCTTCATAAGAAACGCCTATCTCCTACATCTCCTCCAGAAATTATTTTGTTAGTTTAGCTGAAATAGAAAGGCGTGAATCATGGACGTCTATTAATCTTTCTCAATTTCTCATGAACTGTTGAGAATCTGGACTCCTTGCCACTCTGTCACAGTTGTCAGCTGGGAGCCCGACAGCCGGCAAAGAGCTGATTCTGCTCCAGTACCAAGTTTCCGTCGTAATTCTGCTGTTCTTCAGCCATCTTCAATGCAATGCACAGAGGGGGCTTCTTCTTGCTGCCAAGGACAGCAAGGCTTTGACAGTCTAGCTGAATGTTCTCTGAAAAAAAAAAAAAGTTGGGAGTCTTGTCAATGAGATCCTGTCCTGCAATTTTCTCAAATTGTTTTCTTTTGCCTCAGGCCATGGATTTATTTCTCATCCTCTTCTTTTTTTTCAGCCAGCTAACAGAAAAAAGTGGAGATATTTTTGTGGTTCTGGTAATTCTTTCCTATCCTGAGCCTCTCCTCCAACTTAACACGGTCTGACAACGTAATACCTTATAATACTCATCAGTTTGCTCTCGCAGAACTGCCCCTCAACTCTGTCCCCACATTTTTCTCCTCTTAATCTCTTCTCTTACAGCCACTGGAGGCATGCTATAGTCACACTAGGGGAAACAGTAGTTGGAAACTGCGACACGACAACTTATTGCAACCGTGTGCAATCGCCTGCAATATTGTTGCCTTTGCAATGGTTTCTCTGAAGACGTTGACCAGTCTGCGACCAGTCTTCAAAGTGACTTTGTTACATCAAGGGTGGGAAGGAAATAGCAATGAGATGGACTCAGTCTGCTTTCAATTTGCAGTTGAATGAGGTCAAGTTGGCAATTAAATGCAATCTGTTCTGATAATGGGGTAATTAACTTGGTGAAGATTTGAAACAGACATGTAGAAATTCATGTAGAAACACATAAAGTAGCTGTGAACTGACACAGGTGCTCAGCAACATTGTGTTCTGGATATATTCCTATATAAAAACAATCAGCTGGCAACCAGTTTTGTCCCCTATTGCACAGATGCTCATCAGCTCACACTGACTCACATTGATTGCAACACATTGCCAATCTATTCAAGTCATTTTTATTTATATAGCGCCAAATCACAACAGCAGTTGCCTTAAAGTGTTTTATATTGTGTGGTAGACCCTATAAATAGTACAGAGAAAACATAGAGAACCCCAACAATCATATGATCCCCTATAAGCAAGCGCTTTGGCGACAGTGGGAAGGAAAAACTCCTTTTTAACAAGAAGAAAGCTCCAGCAGAACCAGGTTCAGGGAGGGGCGGCCATCTGCTGCGACCGGTTGGCGGTGAGGACGTGCTGTGGAAGAGAGCCAGAGATCAATAATAACTGATAATTAAATGCAGAGAGGTGTATAAACACAGTGAGTGAGAAAGGTCTGTGCTTATAGATTAAACGGTGATTATCTGCAAACGTTTGACAATCTGAGAGTGATTGCAGTCAGATCAAAATTATTCAGAAACAGGTTGCCTCACCTTGCAATCCAACGTGGTCACCCAGGGATCGAGGTTGTTGCACGGTGGTCCGTTAGTAACTGCAACTGCATGCAACTGGGTGCCGAATGTAGAAAAAATGCAACGCAATCACTAAAGAACCAGAGATTTATTTTTGGTTGCCATTCTGTTTTTGCTCTAGTGTGACTAAAGCCATAACCCACCTCAGATTTCTGTGGGCAGTCTCCCTTGTTAGCATCTCATACAGCTGTATTTTACGAATCAGTCAGATGCCCTGATTAGGACTCTCCTGATGTCATAGAATATTTATTTAAAGCTTTCAAAATGACTGCAAAAATCTCACCTGTAATGTGAGTTTTATTTTAAGAACCAGGAATAATAATAATTAAAAAAAAAAAAGTGTGCTAACCCCATCCACTCACTTTTTTTTTTTTTAATCTCTTGGATGACAAACTGTCACTGTACAGAAAAGTGTAGCTTCAGGGCTTTTTTTTCTTTCACATCCATCTGCTTAAGGTGGGTTCGGCTAAAATTGTGTGTTTAAGCTTCTTTCTCTGTGTAATTTGGAGGTCAACCCTGCTCCGGTAAGCATCTTAAATTGAGTATAATGCGAAAATCTGAAGCCTTCATTTGTTAAATACTGAAAATATGATGTGTAATATCAAGTATTTTTTAACCTTTTAAACAAAACAAAAAAGCACATTAGCATATTCATTGATACTTGATTTTTTTTTTTTAAGAGGCAGCTACCGTAAATGTCCTTTTAGGGAATTTAAAAGCAGGAAATTGAACTTTTTGTTGGAGAAATGATATCAGAAACAAATCATCATTCAAAGCAGGATATTTTTATACTTCTTCCACCACACCTGGAAGGGATCCATGTCTGTAGGAACGCTTATCAATTAATCATGGAAGCTGCTTGTGGCTCTGCAGCATCGTGACATTTAGCTTGCAGATCTAAAAAAAAAGGGCAGATCTGATGGGGTGGATGAAGAAGAAGCTCATGCCGTGCTTTGCAGCCCAAAAACGGATATCTTTTTAATGACATGGACAAGTTTGTGTGTTCGCATGCTCCACAGCAGCCCCAGATGGTACCTCTCATATTACTGCATTTGAGTCATACAGCTAAACATCTGTTTCTTTTCTTTTTTTCCTGAAAGATAATTTCCCGCTGCTGTTTGTCTACAGCAACATTTTATCAACAGAAACCTCAAAGACATTCATACCATGCAGATGAAGAACGATTCCACCTACTGCACAGTAAAAAGTCATTTCAACTCCACATTCAGCGCTGTTTACTACTATCTATAAAATTACATTTCTCTTTCATTTGATTTGTACAGTTTGACACATTCTCTCTATTAATGTTGCTTTACCGTTATTTTCAGGCACAATAACAGGTTCACGTTTTTTCCTCTGGTTGTTTTTAAAACTTTTTGTCATTGTTGTGTTTTTTGGGGTTGGGGGATTGTTAGTTCACTGATGTCAAAAACTAAAGGGAAAACTCTACTTGTGTCTGTGCCATATAGCTGCATGGACACATCTTCAAAGACGTGGCTGCCCCATCAGAGTCAGTTTGGGTTGGTTGGTCAAGCGGAGGCTTGCTGTGGTGGTGGACCTGGAGTTTTAACCCCAAGTGAGTCAGTTTAGCCGAGACCCAGTCAAAGTCTCCTTTTTTTCTCCGTCGTCAGCTTTGCGTATTGTCATTTCTTAGCCTCTTCTCCAGTCTGTCATGGTCCAGTAAGGTTTTTATCTGTTATATATGTTTTTCTATGTCCCCCCTCCTCCCCCTTAGTCTTCTGTTCTTTCTGAAATGCATCAACACTGCTGTTGCTAATGGTTAATGAAGGGTTTAACATGCACTAGCCTCAGATGTGCCGCCCTGCTTTTTTTTTTTTTTCCTTTTCCCTCCTCTGCCATGGTTTCCCAATCCTTTTCAGCATTATAAAGATTTACAAAAGTACCTCAGCACATTGATGATTTCATTTTTTATTTTTTTAAACCACTCGATCCTCCACTGGAGCGTCACTCACCGTCAGAGCCGCGCTCCGAGTTTTATTTTGACATCCTCTAGGTTTGATAGCGCCATTTGCCTTTTTACTCGGCTTTGATTCATTCCTCCTTCCTCCTCACTGTGCTCCCTTTACCTCCCCAGATGAAAGCAGTCATTTCTTCTCCCTTCAGGGACGGGGAGAGAAATCATTTTATTAGTCGGCGCGGTGTGTAAAGCTGTTGTCTTTGCTTTCGACATTAAGGCCTACAAAAAAACATGTTAGAAACAAAACAAACAAGGGGCGGTCAGAGGCGACTGTAGGGGGGATGGTTTTTGAGAATCGCCTCATTTTTGATGTGTGCTTTCACGAAATAATATAATATCTTAGCGGGGTCGATATCAAGAGCGGTATCCACATTGCTTCTTGATCTTCGTTCTCAGCTCTTTAATTTGGATCTGCTCATCTACAAGCATAGCATTAGAGCTTCTAAATACATTAGCAAAAACAGAGGTAGTTGGATAGAGAGCAGTGCACAAGCTGCGAACATGTTCCTATGGTAACTAGGCCACACTTCCCCTGGCTAGTACGTACACACACACACACACACACACACACACACACACACACACACACACACACACACACACAGAGGGAGGAACAAGGCAGGAGAGAGACAGAAAACACACACGTGATGGAGAGCAACTTTAGATTGTTTATTCGGGTTACTGTTCTTGTGTCTTCCTCCGCTCAGAGGCCATTTTTATACAGTACTGTCTTGGCCTTCAGAAGTAGCGGTTACACTGCAGAATACTCAGTGTTTCTCCAGAAATATCTGCCAGTTTTCAAGCCGATCGCAGGTTCTTCCCCGTGGCTCCCTCGCTCCCATACTGCCCCTGCTTCCTCAACCCCTCCACCCACCTCTCCTCTCTCATCCTGCAGCTCTTCTGTGCGTTTTACTTCTCCTTGATTACAGTGCTGCTTCTAAACTTAGAAGCAGAGTGGCTCCGAAGAGTCAGAGGTGTCGCTTTTCTACTTAGAATAAAGCCAGCTGCCCACATTTTTGTGAGGCGTGTTGAATTTAAAGCATCTCAGTCTTTTGGGTGTACGTGCTGGGCTCATGAAACCGAGCTAGTAAGACCGTCATCTTTGGGTCTTCGCTCGAAAGGGTTTTTAAGTCTCCTAAACAGCCCTAATGTTTTCTCACTTCAAATTTAAATGCAGTGGGCACTTCAGGAATTTATACTTTATCTGATTCTCTAAATGCCAGCAGTTTGTACCTCTCTGCGCTCGCCATCTCCCGTGTCATTCTGTGTTTGGTAAATCACTGCTCACACTTAAACCGTGTCAAACCTCCTGGGGCAAGGCTGCCGGGCTGTCAAAGAGCCACGGAGTTGATGCTGCGAGGTTTTGCTTCTGTCAGTCATGCAGGATGATTGTTTGGACAGCTTGCTGTAAATGAATGGCCTTAACTTTCTACACTCATTACACCGTCTGCGTTTGCTTTTCAGCACCTGTGACGCTGCTCGAATTCACAATGGTGGATGAACCATGGGTCGTACTTGGCGTTTAGATGTTAAACTCTGGCTCTGAAGAGTCAGTTCATACAAATGAACACAAAATAAATTAAAATACATTAAAATACATTTCTCACTTGCTTCTTGTGTTAATGAGCCGTGCAAGCAGTTTTCTTATATTTCTCTATTTCTTCTAATAGATTATAGTGAATGCCTTATAATGCCTTTATGCACATAGCCTATTCAGTTGCCTATTTTTTCTGGAAAAAGCCATAAATACTACTGGATTAAACACTATAGTCTGACACTTGAAACAAGAGTGTAATGAAGTGATTAAAAAAAACAAAGTGAAGTTTTTCTGCCATCATGAACAAAGTTGCGTTTACTTTCATCATATGGGCGCAGAGAGAATCTCAGATACATCAACACTTTGACTCGTTCTTAAATTACACACTTTAATGAGGCTGCATGTTTCAAATGTGATTTTAATCCTTTTTAGTTTATATTTGACCAGTTTACTAGTTTAAACAAAAAAAAAATTGACATAATTGTATTAGAATGTTGTTTTCTCACTAGAATCACAAACCCTTGCCCTAAACTGTGATGTAGAGGGAGATGCATTTCACCAGTTGAACATTTGAATACACTTTTTAAAAAGTTTATTTTTAAAAACATCTCTAAAATCTTTCGTAACAAATTTCTAAGCGTTGTGGTATAAAGAACTTTTGTTCTGTTCTTAATCAAGATGGTCCCACACTGCTTCAATAATCCTGAGGTTCAGGCTCTGGGGAGATTTTGATCTGCATGTTGGATCAAAATCTGACAGCACTTTTTTGGGTGCCATCAATTTTAATAAGATCCCCAACACCGCTGGCTTAAATGCAGTCCCAAACCATGACAGAGCCTCCACCTTTTTACACAGGACTGTAGACACTCATTGTTGCGCCTTTTCTGAGCTCTTCTGTTTGTATTGATGTAGATTTGAACCACTCCATCAGACCTGTTCTCGTGGATTTTCAGTCCAGTTGTTGTCAAATTTGGCACACCTCAGCCTTTTTTCCTGGTTTCCCTTCTTTAAGAATGGATTCTACACAGCCATCGTTTCACTGAGACCATGTCTGATGAGGCTTCGGTGAACAGTAAATGGCTCAATTGGAAGGTCCAGATCTATGTCTCAGATCTGCTAGAGATTAGGGTTTGTTTGTTTTTTTTTAGGCCTGACAGTTCTTCTTTTGTCCTCTTTGTCCAGTTATCTGAATTGATTTATGGACACACTGCACACCATTCTGACACACACCAAGTTTTCAGATAATGGCTCTCTGAGAATCACCTTGTTGGTGAAAATTGATGCTTGTCAAACTTGACATTTTTCTTATATTCGCCTAAGACGTGTTTAAAAGGGCGACCGTGGCTCAGGGGGTTGGGAATCGCATCTGTAACCGGAAGGTCGCCGGTTCGATCCCTGGGCTCTCTGTCCTGGTCGTGAATATCCCTCATTACCAAGGACTCAGGGGGTTGGGAATCGCATCTGTAACCGGAAGGTCGCCGGTTCGATCCCTGGGCTCTCTGTCCTGGTCGTTGTGTCCCTGGGCAAGACACTTTACCCTACCGCCTACTGGTGTTGGCCAGAGGGGCCGATGGCGCGATATGGCAGCCTTGCCCCAGGGCAGCTGTGGCTACAACTGTAGCTGCCTCCACCAGTGTGTGAATGTGAGAGTGAATGAATAGTGGTATTGTAAAGCGCTTTGGGTGCCTTGAAAAGCGCTATATAAATCCAATCCATTATTATTAAAAAAAAAAAGGCTAATTGTAACAAAGTGCGTAAAGATAAAATTTAAAATAGGTTCTTTTAAGTTTGTTTCAACACAACACTGGTTCATTTCTTGAGTCAGATGCCTTTTTGTGCATGAGTGATTCATAGGTCAGCATTAAGTGGCTTAACAAACAAAAAAATAATTAATCTGAAAATGGTCAGGTGTCAAAAGAGAAACTTTAAAAAAACTACGACAAAGTTAAAATGTAAAGAAATGAGGGATGGCTCAAGACTTATGCACTGTACTGAATATGCTTGTATATGTGCAAATCTCACTGTAACCTGGATTAAAGGTTATCACTGATGTAGCTGGAAAATCCAATATGCATATAAATGTACGGGACATGCAACGACATCCAGACTGTTTCTTCCTTGGAGCCTGTCCCAGCTGTCATAGAGCCAGGATACTTCCTGAAGGGCTAACTCAGAATGACAGGCAAGCGCACGCTCTCACATCCCCACCTACGGCCAGTACAGATTCACAAGTTCACCTGTCATGCACGTCTTAGGGAGGAGGCACCCACACAGGCGCAGGGAGAACATAGAAATGCCACACAGAAAGACCTCAGCCAATCAGCATGCTCACCCTGTAATAAAATACCAGCCAGCTGTTTCACTGAATTATGAAGTTGTGTATCATATTATAGACAATCTAAACCATTTCAGAGCTTATGATAGTGAAAGTCATGACCTGTCTAAAGGGTTAACTGTCAGACATTGTAAAACATATATTTGGTTATTATAAGTTATTAAATGTACAAAACTTCTATTCACTTGAACTTAATATCCAGTAGGGCTGCACGATTTTGCATAAAATGAGAATCACGATTTTTTTGGCTTAGAATTGAGATCACGATTCTCTCACGATTTTCTTTTCCAGTATAAATATTTATTGCACTTATTAACTGCACATCAACTTCGTAACAGTTGAGACTGAACATAAAAACAATAAATAAACATAAAAACAACAAATGTCTCACGTTTTGTTGTTGCCGCAAAATGTTGTACTGCTTGAAATTCCGTCTCCACCGTTGCTCGACGCTGCGTGTATAGAGCAGGTAGTGCAACAATAGAAAAATAGTTGCGGGACGGCACTGTGTAGCGTTTGTCTAGGGTGTTGATCATTTTCCTAAATCCCTCGTTTTGCACAGTGTTGATGGGAGCCATATCTTTGGTCAGGTGATAAGTGATAGCCTCCGTAATTTCTTTGTGCCTGCGGGAGTTCGACGGGTATAGGGAAGCGCTGTATAAGGTTCCCGTTATTGATGTTTGGGTGGTTGACCGGGACGGATTTTCTCCTGTCACTTTCTCGTCA